GGTTTAACTTGAACCGGGTGTAATTAGTCTTTTATTTTTTTTTGTTTTCTTTTTGATTTGTAGATTAGGTTTACTGGGCTACGAGCTAGAGAATCAAAAGAGAACCCATAGCGTTGACACACTGAACACAATAGACCCTAGAGTGTAACGCTTAGTCTTATGTGTTGAATCTTCCACTAAAGTGCCTTAATCTGTATGTTTGTTACTGAATTGAATGTCTCGTAATGGAGCGTCTGATGAGCTGATCTGGAATGAGTCATATGCCATATGTGGTGAGGTTTTGTGCAGTCCATCTATTGTACTTGAGTCTAGAACTTGCCCGGTATGTGAGTTGAAGCGAAATTTGAGGTGATGCTCGGTTTGAAAAATAATTTTAAGGCTTCCTTTGATCTTTTTGAGCTTTATTACCTTATCACAAATAAAATTTATCCCTAGTATACCCTTTTGAGCCTATAGACTTTTGTTTGGCACCCGCATTACAAGCCTATACCCTTTTTGTTCTTAATTGACATTGTTTTGATCCTTTTACCTCTTAAAGCACTTTAATTGTGAGATGAGCGCTAAAAGAAGTAAGAAGGAACTAAGTGTGGGTTGGCTTTTGAGTGGAACCAATGAAAAGAAAAAAGGTGCACTTTTTTTGTAAACTAATACACCACTAGTGAAAATTGAAAAAAAAAAGAGGAAAGAATAATCTAAAAAAAAAAATATAGAAGAAAGAGATGAAAAATTGTTGTCTTGTTCCAGCTAGTGGGTATGAATTAATATAGTGCTTAAAGAAGAAGGGAGCAATTTTGGGGTGATGTTGTTTGTGAAAGTGAAGTGGGTTGAAGAATTGGCGCTTAAAGTTGATTATGTGATGTGTTAAAGTGCTTAGGAGGGTTTGTCACTATTCCTATATATATCCTACCCGTCCCTTAGCCTACATTACAACCATGAAAAAATCCTAATTGATTTTAGATCGAGTGAGCCTACATTAGTAGAGATTTACATTAAGGGCAAGCTTATGGTACCAATTGCATGCATGTGACTTCTTTTGTGAGGGTGAGCGATTTTCTTTGATATATGTGAGCATGAGATTCAAATGTGTGGGTTGATTTTATTTTCTTTACTGTGATTGTGAGGGCATGTGATTCGTGAACGAAAAGCAAGCCTTGACTTCTGTGTAGAGTACTTTGAGGAAGTATGAATATTGCATGGCACGTGAGAGTCGACTTTTGAGGCTAGGATTGTTCACTACTAGGCGTAATGTATGTAAATTGTTCTGGGTGTAATGCGTTAAGGGAAATGGTTGATTGAAGGAACCTCTAAAAAGTATAGTGTGATTGCTCGAGGACTAGCAATGAATTAAGTGTGGGGTGTTGATAATAGGCTAAATCTAGGTAATTTGGCGATTGTTTATGCGCACGCTTGATTATGTTCCAATGTCATAGTTTGGTTAATTGATTAAAAATGGGCTCTACTTGTGAATTGTACATATTGCAGGACGAGGTGCCTATGTGATGCCTTAAAGAGGTGATTGGAACTATTTTAGAGCAAGAACGACCCCTCGGAGCTGAGTATGCACGAAGACGAGGAAAAGAATCAAGGAATTAAAGATCTGGGCTAGCGCGCCCAGATGCGCGATCGCGCTACTATGAGCGCCCCCAATACAGAAAGTCAGCCAACTAGCGCGGCCAGATGCGCGCCCAGGTGCGCGACCGCGCTAGTCCAAGTTCCGGAAAGACTTGTTCAGGGGTATAATTGGAAATCCGGAGAAAATCCCACTTAACCTATATAAAGTCAAGCTCGCCCAAGGATTATTTATCAAGGTTTTCATAGTCTATGTGCAAGAAATAA